ATATATTTGCTACTGACATTTTAAAAAGATGATCCATAAGATGTAAATGATTGGGATATGGAATTGGAATTAATTTCTGTGACCTCTGAATCTTGTAACCCGCACTTTAAAGGGCATTCAAGGGCATCAAACTCATTAAAGTTGCTGCTGGACAAAGTAAGGGCAGTGCTGAAGTCCATCCAAAACAACACAAACAAGCCACTGGTATTTATAAAGATGCCACTGAATAATCAAAGTGAATTTATTTCTCAATTAAGGATAATAAAAGAGAAACATTAACTCTCATAAAAACAGTAGTAAAATACAGTACACAGGAATGTCATTTGAATGTTAACAAGATGAAGGTACAATAGCAAATGAAAACCAGTTACGTTTAACCTTAAATACAAAGGTAAAGCAATTTAATAAGAAATTTTTGTTAGTATGAAAAATATATGTCCCATGTTTTTATTACATACTGTACAAAATAAAATATTGCACCTTTAAGTCATATAATAAATATGTACAGAGTATTTTACAAATGATCTTTTTTTAATTTAATAACTTCAACAATCAAAGGTGATTGATGATTAGCAATTCATGGGCTGGTGTGTTCTCTTTCCTTTCACCCTGTCCATTCCCAACCACCAAGCCCTCCACGTACAGTAGTGTTCATCCCAGTGTTGGTGAGGCTGAAGTTAGAACAAGAGATCTGTGCTCAGAATATGGCAGAGAGACTCAGCAAGTTTGTCCACAGACAAATTCAAAGCCAAATGTGCTGCTCACATGCTGATCAGGAGCTAGGTCCAGCACAACCTGCCTCAGGAAAGGTTGCTCGCCTGGAGGCTGTAGATAGCATGCATACAAGCAGTTGGGACACCGAGTGAAAAAGCGTGACCACTTTTGGGGCTGTGTGGCATCTAAAGCTATAATTGACAAAATACCAGGGAAAGGTCCTCATAATCAAATCCATTTTAGAAGTTAAAATTTAATGCTACCCTTAACCTACAGCAGCAGCAAAATTTACTCCACTGTCACAGACATCAGCATTGTCACAATAGACCCAACTCTGTCCTAACCTGACCCTAACCTTGCTTTAAAGCCAACTCTGGCCCTAGCCTTAATTTAATGTCTTTTCTCACTTAACAGAGTCCTACATGTAATTCAAAACCCAAATCCTAACTAGTTCCTAATGCTAAAATCATAACTTCCAGTCTAACCCTAATTTACTTTGGATTTACAAAAAAAAAAAAAAAATCTCAAATTAAAGCATTTGTTATAAACAATCCTTTTCAATTATCATATTTCTTATTTAGATTACTTTCTTATAAATTTCCCAAATAAAAATCCTCAGGGATACTCTTTTATGCATAAATTAGATAGGCTTTGACTTTCTGTTTGTGTGCAAGAGAATAGTACTTAGAAAATTTCATTCACAGCTCTTAAAAGAAAGCTTTGAATAGACTTCAAAATCAGTAGGAAAGGTTGACTTCTCCTCTTTGATTTCCAAGATGTCTTATTTGGTCCCAGACAGATTTCCATAACTGTGATAATTACCGCCATGTCCACTGTGTTTTCTTCCATGGATGCTCTAGGAACAAGGAAGGACAAGATGCTGTCTGCAATGAAAACCTTGGCTCAGTCGGTGTTACAAGCCTGTCCAGGAAGATTGTCCCTTTTTTCAAAGAATGTACTTAAGGATCTATGAAAATGCTAGTGCCTTTAAAATGCAAATACCTTGTAAGTATGTTGAAACTCTACAACTTGAAAGAAGCTATCTATTGCTGTGTCTCCAAGTCTTCAGAATGGATTACTTTGTCCTAGTCTACAAATCACAGCAGGTGATGATGTGCTCACCACTTTGTGACTTCCTGATTACATGGATATGATGAGGTCCAAAGAGCAAGGGCCATGGGTACTATGGTATTTTTGTTAATCCTAGAATATGTCATTTATAGGAACTGGAATTAAAAGCCAACCATGAGGAAACTGAACTTTACAATATTTTAGCAGTATTGTTTTTGCATCAATCTCTTCTTGATTATGGAATCTCGAGTCTTTAAGAAATATGCGTGTTTGAACCACAGACATGGGGAAAGGAGCTTTTATATTTTTCTTTTATCATCACAGCAGCATCACAGCGCCACCAAAGGTTTATCCTTCTTGGCACGACTGACAGCACCTTTGTTTGTAGAGGACCAGAGAGCACAAGTTAAGGTACTTTACGAACCTACAGTAGTGAGTTGTGTCTGTGCAGTCTCCTGTAAAAAAGAAAAGAGTGCATAACACATGGCTGATTAGTGACTGGGTAAAATACTTGTTTGATTTGATGAAAAAACCGTAAATTGAGATCACAGAGTGAGAAGAAACTACCCACAGCTGGGGCCGCTGCTTTGTTCTGAAGTCAGAAGTGTAGTGGACTACTTCTCAACTGGGTCAAGTGTCTTGTGGCACTATGGGAACCTCACAGTCCCTCTGTCCCATGCTGCTCCTTTCAATGCTGAGGGTAGGGTTACTTTTTGTTCAGCCATGGACCCCCTGGATAATTTATGAAAGCTATAGACTTGCTCCCTAGAAAAATAACACACAATTAAACTCGCCATTGAGTTTCAGGTCAGTTGCTCACCAGTACGATCTCATCAGTTCAATCTCAACAGGAGACTGCTAACAAATGAGTGTGTGGAGACACTGCCAGTGCTGTGACAGGCAAGAATCGATGCCTTGGCCCCCTGAGATGCCACTGTTCTCTAGAGAACATGGAGTTGCATCTACAGAAAGAAACTAATCTTCTAATGTCTCAGTTTACCACATTCATTCTGAATGGCCCCTCCAATGTGACATGGATGAGGTAGGCATGTCAGGGTCTGGGTTTAGACAAGGCTTCTTGGGAGGTGATGGTACCTGAGAGGGGTACGTACTATCACAGGAAGGCCCAAGACAGTGCCTCCAGGAAGCTGGTTTCTTTTTCTGTACACAGTGTCTGTCAGCCACAGGTTTGCAGCTCCCTGCGTGAATGCAGTCGATTTTCCGAGACTGGAAGCCCCTGCCACAGGCTGCTGTACAGGGATTCCAGGGTCCTGTATGCCAGCATGCCTCACAGGGCCCTGATGTGCAGTTCCTCCTAAAGGCAGGTCTGAAAGGGAAAGGAAGAAATGTAAACTAGGAGACAAGATGCTACTTCTTGCTTGCATCAAACCTTTTCTCCTACTTGCTTGCATCAAACCTTTTCTCTTACATAGTCCATGTGCCAAAGGTTTGACAATCCTTTCCACTGAGAAACTGATTTGCACTGTCCATGGTTGGCTAATCAAAGTAATAGTACAATATGATCATAATAAATATGATTAAATTACTTCAGAGTACAGACCACTTCTTAGCTGTTGAGACTGACCCTACAGTCCAACCTACATCATCACCAGATATATTGGGAAGATTCTGGAAACTAACACAGATACATGCCAGAAGGAAGAAGGGAAGACCTATTTTAGAAAAAGTCAATAAACATTTATTTAAGACTTTATGTGTTAAGCATGTAGCTATGAGTAGGTTGAAATGGGTGAAATGTACTCTTAGTGCCAAAATGAGGTTCAAACCAACAAGTGACTAAACTGCCACCACTGAGGCAGGAAAGGACCATGGTCTCTGTGAGAAGCTAATGTGAGTGCTCACACTCAAGTGCATGCAGGAAAAAACAATAGGATGTGGAATTATTACAAAGGAATCACTGCGATCAGGAAAGGATTTCCTCCTTCACTAAAGAAAGGCACAAGGTCTCTAGGTCTTAGATTCTTCTATATAAATGGCGACATAAGCTAGGTCTGATAGCACAGGCCTGTAACCCCAGCTTCTTGTGAGATGAGGTAGGAGGACCGAAAATACAAGGCTTGCTACTCAAGATGCCAGCAAGCTGGGGATGAATGAATAACAGGGTAAATAGGACAGTCCAGAGTCTGGCTCTCAGTACCTCTCCGCCCTGACCCCCACCCGATTTAGTGTACTCATATATATATATATATATATATATATATGGCCTGGAGATCTAGTTCAGAGGTAGAGCACTTGCTTAGTGTGCACAAAGCCCGAGGTTCGATCCCCAGCACTGCATTAAATAAATACATAATCAGAGATATATCCTTGCTTCTATGAAATCTATCTAGAATAAAGACAACATTCCCCATTGCCTGGGGCTCAGAGTCCCTCCTGAGATATGTCTGATAAAGAAGGCATGGCCATCAAGCCAAGTGTTCCCACTGGCTTCCAGCATCAAATTAGTGCAAACACATCAAGAACTAACTGTCCTGCTAAGCTGGAACTGATTAGTTTAGGCAAAGAAGAGAGTTACCACAATGACCAGAATAAACCACTTCAAGTTTGTTAACAAGCCTTTTTTTCTTCCTGTTTATAAGCCTTGAAATACTCTGACACAAGCAAGAATTTATATGTGAGCAATGTTGTCTGCTAAAGGGAGTGTGCTTACATTCACCTTCAGGCCACATGCAGACTTGTTACCAGCAGTTGCCAAAGACCATTTATCTGGGAAGTGGGATCTATCCTGACTAAGACAAAAAAGAAACTCAATGATTGCTGGTGTTTGGAAAGATAAAGACTTCTGAGGACAGATCTACCTTAGTAGATCCACTCTGAGGATTTGTCCTGTATTTGGATTTATATTTATCTGTAAGGTAGGAGAAAGTTTCTCCATCCCCAAAGACAACTGCAAGATGGTTTTAACTTGAGCTCTTCAGGGTTGTCTTTCTCTTGGAAATGTGGAAGCTGCTTGGAGTGGTGCCATTTGCCACCTGGGCCAGAGAGGCTGAAGACTTCAGAAAGAGCCAGTAATAACACAGAAACATGAAAACCAGCAGAGCTGAGCGAAGAGAAACAAAAACGGTGTCTGTTTCTCAGTTGCAGTCCTTCCTGGGTTTGCCTGCAGTTCCTTCCCACTGAGGCTCTGGTACAGTTGTGTAACCATACTACACAACTTGAATATAAGTCTTGGGAATGGTGAAACACCACTGGAGATGTAAGGAAATGGAGAAACTTCTGATAATCTGAACTTCTTGGAGGGTGTTACCATAGTGCAAAGCAATGCCTGGATTAGTCAGTAGACGGAGACACCATCAAAGGGTTTACCTAAGAAGAGTGACTGCCCCACCAAATTGGTTATGAGGTTTAGGGAAGAGGAGCAAGAGAGGATTGTCTGGTTAATTGCTTTTGTTTTCCCTAATAAGTACGAATCTCAAGGCCCCAATGTAGACTCACTTTGACCAAAAGAGCAGATTGAATATTCCCCAGCCTTCTCCCTCTGCAGAGATCAGCTTCTTACAGAAAAAAAGGTGAACAAATATTTAAAAAAATATATTTCAGGTAAGTTTGGCAGTGCCCACTGTGCCTTGACTCCCCCAGCCTCATTCACCCTCCCAGCTCCCCTATCCCATCTCTCCTCCTAGCCTAGGTACTGGCCCATTTCTTGTCTTGGCACCCCAGACCCCTGGACAAACCTCTTAGTCCAAAATCCCGACTGCATCAATATCTTTTGCATTCCAGATCCACCCAATTCCTCCCTCTAGTCTCTGGGAGCCCTCTGGGCCTCTTCCCATCCCCACCTCCATTTGCATCTCTGGGCAGCCCAGGCCCACATATTCCTGGAGCCACCAGCTTTCCTGGGTAAGTTTGGCGGTGCCCACCACACCTTGAGCCCCCCAGCCTCATTCACCCTCCCAGCTGCTTCACACCATCTCTCTTCCTAGCCTGGGTACTGGCCTATTTCTTGTCATGGGACCCTAAGACCTCTGGACTGACCTCTTAGCCCAGGATCCCCACGGCTTCCTGATCCTTTACATCCAGACAATCCAATTCCTCCCTGTAGTCCCCAGGAGCCCTCGGGGCCTCTTCTCTCCCCTACCTCCCTTTGCATTCCTGGGCGGCACAGCCACACACTTCCTGAAGCCAGAATCTTTCCTAGGCCCTGCTCCCAGGCCAGCCCTGCCTTCAAATTCCTGAGGCCAGCATCTTTCCTTGAGGGATCCAGACTGTAGGAGAAAGCCTGAGAGCATCTGATCCCCATCTGACTTGGGCTTCTGTGGGAACTCATGAGCAGCAAAAGGAAAGCAATTTGGCAACTCCAATATAAAATCAAAAGACAGAACCTGAAGCCTAGAGCAACCAGCTTTTCAGGCCCAACAAGTAAACCACAAAGTTTACAAAAAGACGCAGACCTAAACTTAACAAAGGAAGGCTTGAGTCTCATGCAAGAATCAGAAACTATAAAAGAAATCCACATGTCAAAGTCACAGAGCAAAATAGTAACATGAAAAATCAAAATACTATATCCCCACCAAGTACCATCAGTCCTCTAGAGGAGTACAATGAGAACCCCCTAGAGACAACACAGGACATAGAACTCAAAAGAACAATTATAAACATGATAAAAGAATTCAGTGAATTTAAAGAGCACAAAGAAAGAAATCAAAGAACTGAAAAGAAGATAGGGATAAACATCTGAATGAATTCAGAAAAGAGAAATATTAAAGAACGCTCAGGCTGAAATGAAAAAGGAAGTGAAACACTCAGTATGCCAATTAGAAATGACAGGAGAAAGCCTCACCAATAGGATGAATGAAATGGAAAACAGAGTATCAAGACTGGAAGATAAAGTGGCTGAATTAGACCACTCAAGCAAAGATTACAAAAAATTTTAAGAAAACACAAGAATGGAATACGCAGGAATTGTGCGACACCATAAAAAGACCAAACTTATGAATCATAGGCATACAGGAAGGAGAAGAATCTCAGGAGAATGGTATGGACCAGATCTTCAACAGGATTGTAGAAGAAAATTTCCCAAAATGAAAGACATGTCCATACAAATAAAAGAAGCATATAGAATGCCAAACAGACAGGACCAGAAAAGAAACTCCATGGCACATCATAGTAAAAACACTAAATGTACAGAACAAAGAGAGAACACTGATATCTGTAAAAGTAAAATAACAGGTCACATATAAAGGAAAACCCATTAGAATTACAGCTGATCTTTCAGTGCAAACTATGAAAGCCAGAAGAGCCTAGACAAAAGTATCCCAGTGCTAAATGACCACAGATGCCAACCCAGATTACTTTACCCAGCAAAAATGTCTATTATAGTCGAAGGGGAAAGAAAAATCTTCCATGACATAAATAGGCTGGAAGAATTTGTCCACAAAACCAGCTC